CATGACCAGTGCCAGCTGTTTTCCCTAGCCTTTCTAGTGCTCCTGTGGGAGTGAATCTGCAGTGCCCATGGCCATTACTGTTGCCCCTATGACAGCAGCTGCCACTGGCGGAAAGGGGGACATTTCGATTTGGCAACTCATTTGCTTCTCCCTTACAAACAAAGTGCTTTTGTTAAGTTGTACCTATTTTGTTTTGCATTTTGATGTTTGTTGAAGGATTATAAAGTTAGGGATTACTGTTGTGTATAGGAAATGGAAGGAAAACTGGGCATTTGAACACAATAGTTATATGATACACTTTGCTGTTTAAATTTCTTTTATACATTTCCATCTCGTGTGGAATATATATCAGTTGTTTTTTGTTTATTTGTTTTTAATATCTTATCCCACACTTTGGCCCAAACAGTCTTCTTTATCTTTAGGCATACCAAGTATCTCTACCTCAATTTCTTGTGCTAGGTGTTTTTGTCTTTGTTTATGGAATGACCTTCCACTTCATCTTTGAAATACTTACGGACTGCTCTTTATAATGCTCCATCTTTATCACATCAAGCTGTAGCAGTTTATCTTTTATTCTGATTTTCTTTAACAGTAAAAATACTTTATTTCCATAACACTTTCCTAGTCATTTAAGCTTAAGACCAATGGTAAACAGATGTAGTGTTTAATAATTTTTCTCCACCACTGAATCCCCAGTGCAGAAAACAATAGTACATATTTAATAAGGTCTAGAAAATCAGGCATATAATGAGTTTGAATTCTAGGTCAGGCAGATAGACAAGATAGCTCAAAGACTGAAAATTTCTTCCAAACTAACTGTTCACAATGGAAATGAAGAGATTTCAATAGACTGCATCCAAGTCAAATCACAGTGAGCATGTTCTTTATCACTGAGCACTCTTATAGAGAGCGCATGATTGCCACTATAGTATAAAGAGAGATTAAAGTTGGAACAGTCTGCTTATAAAAACTGAGGAACGTCAGGCGTGATGATTCATGACTAATTCCTGCACCGGAGTAGCTGAATTGAGAGGATTCCAAGTTCACGACCAGCCTGGGCTACATAATAAAACACAGTCTCAAAAATAAAAGAAGGCCCCACCCCTAAGATGGAGAATTATGAGCAATTAATGACTGCTAAGAGGGAGGCTCAGCCTGTTCCTGCAACAAGCCCCTGATAATTTATCCAATTCCCAAAAGTCAGTCTCAATCACAAATACATGTGAGCAACAATAAAGGAACTCAGGATATGGATATGTATATATAACAAAGCATATATGTGGACCACAAACATAATAAACAAGTAAAACAAAACAACAAGATAAGCAAGGAGAAAGGAGAACTGATTTAGATGCCTTTTATAGATGACCACTTCTCAGTAAATGATAGAGACATCACTCCCATTACTTTAATCATCCAAGTGTCATCTTTGTTATGAAATTTACTTGAATTCCAAATTATGGAAAACAAATACTTCTTTAGCTCTCCTTGCTATGTTATATGTATATGCATTTTGTCTACAGTAAGATTCAAGCTTAGGGAGACAATAGCTTTGTCTTACACAACCTTACATCCCCAGGCATGAATATAGTACTTGGAATAGAGCAGACATTCAATATGTATTTGTATCCAAATTACCAGTCTACGTAAGCAGTCGAAACCCTAAAGAAGATGCATTTTTTTCATAAAAAATGGATAAGCTCAAGCATAAAATAATGTTAAAGCATTTTGCTTGCTTTATTCAGGAGAAAAAAAAACATTGTACTGACTGGAGTTTCGGTTAGTGAGTGGCACTGCTCTGCAGGCAGGTTGCACTAGTTACTCTTGTATTGATTTGATAAAACACCATGACCCTGTGGTGATATTGTGTTCCCCAATATATTGTGCAACCTAATAAACTTATGGAGGCAGAGATCCATCCAGATCTCTGTGAGTTCAAAGCCACACTGGAAACAGCCAGGCATGGTGACACACGCCTTTAATCCCAGGAAGTGATGGCAGGAAGCAGAAAGGTATATAAGGCATGAAAACCAGGAACTAGACCTGGTTAAGTTTTTATGAATTTAGCAGCAGTTCAGCTGAGATTCATTCCAGATGAGGACTCAGAGGCTTCCAGTCTGAGGAAACAGGATCAGCTGAGAAGTTGGCAAGATGAGGTTAGCTATGGCCTGTTCTGTTTCTCTGATCTTCCAGCATTCACCCCAATACCTGGCTCCAGGTTTGTTTTTATTAATAAGACCTTTTAAGATTCGTGCTACATGACCTTTCTAGAAGAAATACTTTATTTGGGCCTATGAATCCAGAAGGATTAGAGTCCATGGTGATGGAACAGAGACATGGAAGATAGAGATGGAAGCTAAGAGCATACATCTTGAACTCAAAGTGAAAAACAGAGAGAGAGAGTGAACAGGAAATGGTAAGTCTTTAACTCTCATTGTTGAACTCCAATGACATATCTCTTCCAATAAGGCCATATCCCCTAAGATAAGGCCATATCCCCTAAGATATGTCTTAGTTAGGTTTCTATTGGTGTGAAGAGACACCATGACCATGGCAACTCTTTTAAAAGGAAACATTTAACTAGAGATGTCTTACAGTTTAGAAGTTTAGTCCATTACCATGGTAGAAGGCATGGCAGCATGCAGGCAGACAAAGTGCTGGAGAAAGAGCTGAGAGTTCTACATCTGGCAGTCAGCAGGAAGAGAGACACTGGTCCTGGTTTGAGTTTCTGAAACCTCAAAGCCCACCCTAGTGACACATTTCCTCTGACAAAGCCACATATTGCTGTGGGATGTTAATGTATGCCCTGTGGGAGCCCTTCTTGGGTTCCTTGTGGCGTTACCCAGCAGGTTTGCATAGAGGATGATTAGGACCATGGGCCTGAGTGCAGGTGTCTGAGATGGTCTGCACTTGGCTGTACTGGGGGATGGTCTGTATGTCAAGTTGCTCTGATTGGTCAATAAATAAAACCTGATTGGTCGTGGCTAGGCAGGAAGTATAGGCGGGACTAACAGAGGAGAAATAAAAGAACAGGAAGGCAGAAGGAGACACTGCCAGCCACTGCCAGGACAAGCAGCATGTGAAGATGTTGGTAAGCCACGAGCCACGTGGCAAGGTATAGATTTGTAGAAATGTGTTACTTTAAGATATAAGAACAGTTAACAAGAAGCCTGCCACGGCCATACAGTTTGTAAGCAATATAAGTCTCTGTGTTTACTTGGTTGGGTCTGAGCGGCTGTGGGACTGGCGGGTGACAGAGATTTGTCCTGACTGTGGGCAAGGCAGGAAAACTCTAGCTACAACATATCCTAATTCTTTCAAATAACGCTACTCCCTATGAACCTATTGGGACCATTTTCACTAAAACCACCATAGATTCCCAAAACAGTGCCACCAACTAGAACCCAAATACTTAAAAAATCGAGAGTAGGAAGATATGTTATTCAAATCACCACTCACAGCTCTAACCAGAATTGCATAGAACATATATGTTTAGCCCTCCACAAATTTTCCTCTAAGGGAAGTGTGAGTTGGGTATAATGGTTCAATTCTATGATCCCTGCAGCTAGATCCTGAGATAGGAAGATTGCCATGCATTTGAGACCACCCTGGGCTAAATAGTAAGGCTCTCTCTAAAAACATAAAAATAAACATGTTCTCATCTCCCATTCCTCCCCCTACAGTTTACCCAGGAGATCTTATCAATTTTCACTTCCTAGGGTGATCCATGTGAGGAGGGAGGGGGAACTGTGGTTGATATGTAAAATGAAAAAAAAATTAAAAATAAACATCATGGCTTTATATTTAATTCACTGCTTGGCACTTATCCATAAGTCTGTTTTAAAGTTATTTAAAAAACATAACCGATGTTCATGATATACAATACCAATAAAATTTTAGAATGCAAATCCTTTCTTATATGATCAAAACAGGCAGAATTATGTTGGCCGTTTTATGATATAACATTCCAAATTATCATTAGAGACATGCAATATAACTGTTAAAATCCATTCACTAATGAGAAAACCAAAATGTCCATGAGCTAGTAAATTACTGAACAGAAAACCAAACTTGCTTTTTCTGGTGGAAGATCTATATTAATATGTAAAAAACTTCACAAAGTGTTACAACAACTTCAGTTTTGTGCTATTCGATCAGATTTAGACCCAATGTGTATGGCTGGTAGTTATTTTATAGTTGGGTTATATAGTTCATTAACATCAATAATATATAATTAACAAAATGGGGTAAAATAAAACTGAATATCATGTAAAATAAAATACCACAAATTCATTATATCATCTGAGGTGGCTTATTCTCTGTGAGTCACTCTGTAAGTTTCTAATGAGGAATTAGAGTCTGTATTGAGCTTATTCAGGCAGTCGTATGCAGGCTATACAATTCCACAGTTCTGGATACAGTGGTTTGAAATTATCCTCAAAGATAAGGCCATGTGTCTATGGCTATTTGAAGGTCACATGCTATATTCTTTTAGTTATTATGGAGTTGATATTTCACTCCTGGAATTTATGCAACATCTATCTACCAGCATATTTAATGATTATTTCTTGTTAATGTGCTGAGTAAACAGCTAAGGCTATCTGTATTAACAGTGTCATTAACACTGCTAAAGCTTGTCTGATAAATGTCATTTCCTAAATACTGCCTATAGTTTAAATCAAAGTAGCAAATGCACAATTAACCTGAACAGAGGAAAAGTGCCCACTCAGCACCTTAGAATGAATTAAGTTGAGTTATGACTCATCTAATTTTGCAAAGTCGCCATAAAAATGAGCTTTTCATTTTGCAGAAGTATAGCTGGGATTTACAGCAGATGATTAAGATAAGGAAGAAAAATAACTTTTGCATTTTATCAGAACAGGAGAGTTTTATCCTGGCCATGAATTTTTCTCTCTGTAGATTTCATCCATCAAAGAAATGTCTCCACAAGTTGTCAAGAGCCCAGCTGTTCCCCAGGGACCTCTACAAGTGTGACTTACCTTGTGAAAGTTTCTGAAATAAGCTGCCTTTTCATCTGGAAATTTTTCTAGCCTTCTAGGTCCCTTGCTAGAAGCCTTCTTAAAAACCAACCAGCATCGTCTGAAAATCTGAAACAAATAAAGGAATCTGATTATCCACCCTTTCCTATGAGTTTACTGGCACTTGAGGTTTTATCTATTCAACTAATCCATTAGGAATGAGTTTGCGAAACTCCATTTATTTCAGAGTAACTTCTTTAAAGGAGAAGTGTGTGACTAATAGAAATTGCAGCACAATTAAAAACATAATGTATCATGTAAAATTCAATGTGTTAATCTGTTGGTTCTAATCATCTTTAATATAAGTAATCACTTGGTTGTCAATACTGCATGAATGATAGCAATTCTTTATTTTATATCCCACTGCAGTGTGAATTTAGTCAGGTTAAGTGAAATAGATACATACTGCTAGTTTTCTAACTTTGAATATAAAATAATATTTATAGTTGTCTTACACAACTTCAGGATTTTCAACAAATGGTCATAATATAATTTAGAAAATAGTAAGAAATATAGTTTATACTAGGCATACCCAATTCCCTTGTTTTATAGTAGCTAGAATATACTAAGTATTTATTATGTAAAATATATTTTAAAATTTAGATACACATTTAATACTGATAACTACTATTTTAAACAAGTACTATTATGTTCATTTTTGATGAAGCTAAGAGGCAGGTCAAGGCTTGGGTACATGTCTTTCTGAATCTTTAGTTTTAGCTTTTAAAATTACCCTTAATTATGTAAGCTGATTTTATCATTTTTGAACATGTTCTTATTATATAGAAATAATCAATACCAAGCTTTTAGATTGGCATCTGAGTTTTACATGTTCTCCTTAGATATGTTGAAAAGGAAAGAAGTAAAATACATTTTATTTTTTTTTACTTTCTAGTAATTGAACTTGCTTGGTAATTTGAAATTTCCTCAACTCTTTAATTTCTAAATTTAGCACACATTATTTCCTGGAGAAAATTTCTCCTCTAGCATAGCATGAGGAGAAATTTCATCATAGGTAATTTCAGAAATCTCAGTCAGTGTGTTTCTATTCTGTGTCTTTATTCAAAGCCCACAATTGTCACAATCCTTTTTTTTTTTTTTTTTTTTTTTTTTTTTTTTTTTTTGCTAGTAGAAGACATACAGTGTAATTCTTTCAAATTATTCCCAGGGACATTGTTTCGTACTCATTGAAAGACAGTATTTTTCATGTTAAAAGGCACTCTCAGAGCAATCACAAATGAATTTCCCCAATATAGCAAAATAAGTAGAATAACAATGTGAACACTTATTCCCACTGCTCCTGCTGTCTTTCTTAGATCTTCTGCTATAGTTTTAAAAAATACATCAAGAATGATGTTGAGCTCCAAAACACAATAGCATGTCTTCCCATCTCTGGGATTAGATATATCTTCCTTATTAGCTGTATAACTGTAAATGAAGAACTGCTCAGTTTCTTTAGAACTTTATTGGTGTGATTTGATACATTGTGTTTAGCACATGACACTGTAGTTCTTTGTTGGACCTTTACCAATGCCCATTTACAAAGTGAAACTGTGTTAATGATTACAATATGGGATCAGAATATGATTTGTTTAGCTCCAATTAATGAATTTTAGTCATTTTTACCCTACCCATTTCTCTTTCTCATCTCTGTCATTCTTCTGCTGAAATCTTTCTTCCCAGCAAATCCCTTTCTATTTGCATGTCTTTTTTGAATGTGAGACTCATTAAGCTTAATTAGTTTCTTTCCTCAGCATGGGTGGGAAGTTATTTACTGGAGCAAGGGCAAATTACCAATGGTTACAGAAGTGAAAAAAAATGGCACCCTCTCTCTCAGAAAAACATACACTGGCAGTAATCCCCCAGGGAGGCTTAGAACCTTTTGAGTTCCTCCCCTAATCATGACAATATATATGCAAAGTTGTAACATATAAAAAAAGATGACTAGATTGTGAAAAAATGGTGAAGCTTTCATATTTTTATTGTAGCTCTTTTATTTACTCAACACACAACTTCAGCAGATTATTTAGTGTTCAGCTAATGAAGAAGGGTAGTGCATGAAATTGAGGGGGGAAATTTAACAAGATGGGCCAAAGTTTTAGTGTACAGAAAATTCTACAGGTCCTACCCTGCTTTTAGGCTACTTTATCTTACTAGGTACTGTTCACTATACTTGGCAAAGGTACACATGGTAACACTTATTTTTATTGTAGGAGTTGTGGTTCTAACATTATTCAAACAGAATAGTCCGATACAAATATTTTGTGTTAGCTTACCATTTTAAACATTTCAAATGATGCATAGAAAATAATGTTAATGATCTCCCAAACATGGGCTTTGGATTTAACAAAATATACTTGAAATTCCAGTTTTCATCTTGTTAGACACACAAAATTTAGACACACCACTAAGCCCTCTAGGCATGTGTCCTTAAATTGGTCAGGGAAAAAGAATGTTTCAAATTTAGTGTTAATTTTAAAGTAAAAAGAAACTAAGTATGTTAATACATTTCCACAGTGCATACAGAGGAATCATTTGACTAATACAGGGCAGCCATATACAAAACAGAAAGAAATGCTCTTAGCACAGCCTTGGTTAACACTTCTGAAAAACATGAATATTTACCTCTACTTTGTTATAAAAACTGGCTTGTACAAGTACAGTTTTAAAGGTCTCACATGATTCTGATAAGAAATTGAATTGAATATATATGATCAATAAACACAGTGTTCCGGTGTTTCATTGAATACAAATATCAGCTCATATTAATGTTCCATGATGGTTCAAATATATTGAGCAGTGTAGGTGTGCATGCTTACATTTAGTAATGCATACTAAAAAATGAAATTTATTCTCTTCTTAAAATTACTCTCTTCACAAAATAACATGAAGTAATTTTGTGCTAAGAAATCACTTCATTTAAGCTTTAATCAAACTCTTGTATTAAAATTTAGAGCACTGTATTGTGGTATCTAAGAGCATAGACAACTTTCAGGTGAGGTTTTTATAATAATTAAATGTCTTGCCTCAAATAAATTATTTAAGCGTATATCCAACTTTGTTTCTCATTCATATATTGATATGCATCTACTTCAGAAAGATGGGGGTCAACCCCTTAGATTATAAGAGATGTCCTGAAGAAAACAGCTAGAGTGCATTTGAAAAGTAACCTATCCTCCTATCAGAAATTATTAGGGTTTGTGTACTGAGTTTTGTCTCTCCAAAATTTATATTCTGAAACAAGTGTGCTCTTATTTGGAGATATAATAGTGCTAGATGGGGTCATGGAGGTTAGTTTTGATGGAGGGATTGGTGCTTTCATGAGAACATACATGACCAGCATGCTTCCTCTCTTTCTGCTTATTCAAAAAGCAGAGAGCACATAAGCGCATGTTGAGAAACCATACATAGTCTACCAGCCAAGAAGAAATTCTCACCAGAACCCAACCACATTGGCAGCCTAGTCTCAAATATGCATCCTGCAGAACAGAGAAAAAAGGGATTTCTGTGGTTCAGTCTACCTAATGCCTGATATTTTATTATGGTAGGTTAGACTCATTAATACAGATGCCATAGATAGATAGACAATTGATAGATGATAGATACATAGATAGACAATAGATAGATAGATGATAGATAGGATGATAGATAAAATGATAGATAGACAATAGATAGATGATAGATAGATGATAGATAGATAGAATGATAGGTAGATAGATAATAGATAGATAGATGATAGATTGATAAATAGATAATATTTAATTTGTCGCAGTGATAGGGTAGTGCTTATGACAATAGTTTAAGTAACAGTATTGTGGAAGTGAAAATCATTCCTATGAATCTGAGCAGAATTTGAACTCATCATAAGCAACAAATTCTAATATTATGTGCAAGGTGGGATGTATATAGATTATAAATACTTTTCCCAGTTTTCATGAATGCATTGAGAATCTTTCCTTGAAGGAAATTGACATACAAATCTTCAGTAAAACGATTTTTTTTGTTTTTTCCTACTGAGAAATGGTTTCCCCTGTGCTGTTGGTCATTTTATTGCTCACATCTTGGTAATCATCAAAACAGCAAATGAAACCTTAAAATAGTCATAGAAATCCATATATATAGGCAGTACAGTGTTCATTTTGTGTTACCATAGTTAGTTTAATTTAAGAGATGAGCTAAATATAAGCCAGAAAGTCTATATGTTATTGTTTAAGCATTCATTATTATTGCAGAACAGGTGTTAACAAATAAGATGATAAATTTAGCTATTTATCTAGTATCTTATTCTTTGGATATTACAACATTAACAGAGACAAATGACCACATACAAATGAGCCTAATTTTTAAAGGTTTCATGAAATAAACTGTTTGCCAGTTGAAAGATCTGTCACTTAGTTTTGGAATGGATTTGCTTTTTTAAAAAGTTCCAAAATTTATACATCAAGTTCCCATGTATTTGACCCAGTTTCTAATATTAAAACCCTAAAGGGACTTTGTAGGGTTTTCACCATGAAGATATTCACATTAACAAAATACCAAAATAGTTGCTAAAAATGTTAAGAAAAACAAATTTTATTCAGAATATAGCTTTATTTTCCTTAACCTGTTCTGTTTCTGGGACCAAGACCACATTCCAAAACTTTAATTTGTGATAATTTCTTGGATTTTGTTGTTTTCATTCATTTGTTTTGTTTTTTAAAACCTTGAAAGTTTTGAAGTATACTAGTCAGTTAATTTCCTGCAGAATTCTTTAATTTCTGTCTGTCTTGTTATTTCTGATATCTAAAATTCTAAGGAAAATCTGTCATCAAAATATAATTTAGTGAAAAAATAATATGAATGAATCATGGCCATGGACTAGTTATTTTTTTAATATAATTTCTAAATGAAAATTTAAAGTTGAAGAGAGAATCACTTAATAAATGTTGATTTCTTTCCTCTTTAGTCATATTTTTTCTAAATGTTTTGAATATAAAGAAAAGAAAATAATAACTAAGACCATGGTATGGAGACATTTCATGTGTCACCTGTGTTATTAATGGAAGCAAAAATTAAGTATGAGTCAGGAA